TTTTTTATCCTTTTTGTTTAATTACATATCCATGTATATTATATACATATTAATTTCAAACATGATAATTCCCTCAGTTCATCAAGATCTTGCAAATACGAGTCATACTCAAATTAATATGTATATACACATTAATTTCAAACATGAGTAGCAAAGAATTAATTTACAAAACGAAAATAACAAATTTTTAACAAAGCATAGAACCCAAAAACACACTTAAAAACCAAAATAACACGATAAGAAACATTTTTAAACAGCTTTTATCAAATTTGTATGTAAAATCGAAAATAGACTTGTTTTTATTTTATTGATTAACAGACTCAGCCATATGATTGTTATTCTAAAATAAATAAAATATGTTTATTTACAAAAAAGAAATTCTTCATCATAAAATATGTTCAAGTTCATTAATGTTTATTTTTTATTAATATTAATAAAATCTTGTTTTGATATATTTATGAAGTAAATTTCCAAACAATTTCCTTAACAAAAGTAGTTGTTGACTTTGACTTGGGCTTCCACTATTTAGAAAAGTTATAATGCCTCTTGGATCTATTATTCTTAACGTTATCATATATCCTTCTCCTCTCCATCAAATATCTCTCGATCATACCTTCTCATAATTCATAATGGTCGTTATCTCCGAAGAATCTTCATCTTCTTCAAGCCGTGATCAATATAGATATGATGTATTTTTAAGTTTTAGAGGTCTTGACACTCGTCATAATTTCACAKATCACCTCTACAAGACCTTGATCGAAACTAATCTCACAACACACTCCTAGCTTTAACAACTCATCACTAGCTTGCTTTCTAAATGTAGCAGCTGTTGGAGCATTTGTTTATGTATAAATATGTGTATTTAAGGCTGAAATTTGAGATTTATTTAATAAAAAACTAGGGTGTTACATATATGAACTAGAATTTGGTGAAAGGAATTGGTAAGGATTCCATGAACCAAACAACACCTTAAATTCTGTGGATTCCTAATTTTCATTCAAGTCATCGTCATCATCTAGTTAAAAGCTTGCCTAAACCAACGTTAATCTCATATTGACTTTTGTTTTCATAAAGGGGTGTTTGGTTCACATAATGGGATMTGTCAAGGTAATTAGGGTTTGAASGAATTAGAATGAAATTTAATCAGGTGTGACCATGCGTTAGGTTGGCAGGAACTGAAATGGAATTTCTCAAAACAATTTGAATATGTTTGTTTGGTTTGTTGAACATAATAATGGTGGTGGATGGGAGTAGGGGTGTAAATGATGCGAGTTGAGCTCGAGTATCACTATACTCGACTCGAACTCGAAACCCAATTTTCAAGCTTGAACTCGACTCGAAAACTCACGTGTAGTAAAAATCAAAGCTCGACTCGAACTCAATAACTCTTTCTCAAGCTCGAACTCGACTCGAAAACTCACGAGTAGTAAAAATCAAAGCTCGAC